AATATAATATTTTGGCATTAGCTATACTTTAAAATATTGTAGTTGAAAAAATTTGCTTAGCTCAAAATAAATTTATTTTTCTTGCTCTTAAAATACTATAGAATATGGACGGCTTAAGCGAAAAAAATGCAAGTTCAGATTTTGCAATTCAGAATAACATGGAGAAATCTGAACTGGCATTAATTTTGCTTGAGCAGTCGATATAGTGTATTAAAAAGTACAATGAGAAAGTGACGAAACAATTATTTAATGCACGGATTACCTGCTATTTTAATAAGTAATTGATATATTTAATTTTGCAGTTTAAGTTATGAATAAGCTGTTTTAGATTTTCCAGGGTGAAAGAAAAAAATTATTTATGAGAAAAATAGCCATGGATGTAAGAAATCTATTTACAATCTAACCTTCTAACATGTGCTATGGTAAAAACTTATCAATCACTTTAGTCGTTAGGCGTAAGGTTGGATTACTTTCAAAAATAATTTCTTTAATTTTTTAAAAGAGTAAGACAACAAATTCCCTTGACCACAAAATCATTGTAAGTTCTAGCTGTCAAAAATAAACAATAGAAGTTAGACGCAGCTGCACGTAAACGATAACTCTCGGTCTTTTTCAAAAAACTAAAAAAATTCTTATCATTTCGGCTAAAAAGGTGCATATAATCTGCATCTAGTATTGTATCTTTGCACAAATATGTTACAATACAATAAAATACTTCATTGCTCTTAACATTTGTCTGCGTACTTTCTAAATAAAATGAAAAATTTGTGTTTTGCGTATGGTTTTTGTGTAAAATATTAAGCAAAAATTTCATTAATTTGTTACTTAATGTTCACTGAACGGAAAACACATGTAGTGTAGGGAACGTTGCAGATGTTAACAGACTTCAGTTTAAGTTTAACAATTTTATAAGACAATACTGATTTTTATTACAGCTATATCCAACATTGTTTAGCTTTTTGTGTGCAAGTTAATATGTTGGACCGAATTCATAAATTTATGGAGACTGTAATACAATAATACTGTAGCAGAAATAAAGTTTAAATTAACTTGCATTAAAAAATAAACGAGCAGATTATTGAGCAAAAGATACAATATTTTGATGTTATCTGAACTTTAAACGCTATTGTATTAGAAATTTGCCTTACGGAGAACAAACTTTAACAGAAATAATTGTCTTATATTATTCAAACACAATCGGATATGGTATTGAAGAAGAAAATTAGAAAATAATGAAACGATTATTAAATGCAAGTATTACCTTATCTATTACAAGTTTTTAGTATAAATGTTTTTGTTCCTCTTGATCATTTATTATCTGTATCGTATTTAAAGAGTCCATTAAAATAAAATTTATTAGGAAAATATCTATGTGATCGAAAAATGTGCTATGGTAAAAACTCTTGAAACACTTGAGTCGTAAGATGTACGTTCAAATTTCTCCATTATATCTTATGATGTTTTACTAATTATTTAGTAAATTGGTTTTTGTGAGCTTCAGCAAAAAAAAACGCTGTGTCAGATTATTTGGGATAAATTAAAAAACGTCATAAACTGTGCTATGGTAAAAACTTACAAAAACCCCTAATTGTATTGAGATCCCTGATAGGAGCGATAGTATATACACATCCAATTGCAGGCAGTAAGGGTTATTAAGGAGAAAGGCCTAATTCATGTTGATGACAAAAAATGTATATTAAAAACATATAATTAAAAAAACTGACAGTAAAAAAATAATAGTAAGCACTTGAGGATCATCATGCACATAGTAAAATAAAAACAAATGCACAAATGCAGTAAGAAGTTAGAGTGGAGACATTGGTACAGGAAATAAGATTTAAGAGTAATAAATTAAATTTAAAAAAAGTAAACCATAGTTGAAAAAGCCAATAAATATGATAAAGAACGAAAAATGTAAGAAAATTAAAGAGATAAGGACACCAACTGGAAAGCAAATTAAAATACTATACAATAAGGATAACAAGAGAAAAAGAGAGCAATCTAGTAACATCATAGTCATTAGAGTTGAGAAGTAAATTAAGAAAAATTGGATAATCAAAGATTGTTTATTGAAAATGGACGTTTTAAAATTGACAGGTACAATGAAATAACATATGGACAAGAAAAATGAGAAAAAATATTGCTGTGCAGTAGAACAACACTTTAATTAGATAATTAGGAAGGTCATAAGAAAAAAGCTTGCTTCCAAATGGTGTTTTTATGGAAGTGTGTATTCCTTGTAATAAAAGAAATTTTTTTTCTGCCATTCTTGTAACCGTATAAACAGCAGCATAAAAGTATTACCCCTTGATGCGTGGAAAATGATAAACAGTGTTTTTTATTATTCTAATATTCATCTAGTCTTCAATAAATTATAAATGCATGGCTATCTCTAAACTACATGCAGTATTACTTAAGTAGGTGACTACTATTATTATCCTTATACCTGACAGTATTAAATTAATGTTAAAGAAAATGTAGTTAGGCTGTAGTACGATATTTTTTTTAATATTAATGAAAATTTAATCATAAATCTCATTTAATATAAAGTTGATAAATTTCAATGGTTAAGAAATGAGAGGCTAAAAATTAATATCAGAAAAAGTCTGATGTTTTGTAGAATCGTTCATTGTATTATTATATAATTAAAAGGGTCTTTCTCGTTTACCGTAAGGCCTTTATCTGACACATAAAAAAAATTTTTTTTAATTTTATCATTTAATATCAACTAAATATAATGTTAAAAAGTATTAAAAAATGTCACTGCTTATAGCTAACTTAAGACTAAGCACATTTAAAAATATAAGTTTTCGTATAACGTATAATCTTAAATAATTTATCAGAAATAACATTTTTATTAGGGCAATAACTTTTATTCCATAGCTTTACTCAATGACGTTAAGATTCAAATATGCCAGTCAATATGTTGTATCGTATTTATAGATACTATAAAAACGTACTGCTTGATATAATTAACCTGCATTAATTAATGAAAAGCAAGTACTATTCTACAATATAATATTTTGGCATAAGCTATACTTCAAAATATTGTAGTTGAAAAAATTTGCTTAGCTCAAAATAAATTTCTTTTCCTTGCTCTTAAAAAACTATAGAATATGGACGGCTTAAGCGAAAAAAATGCAAGTTCAGNAATATGGAAGCACGCCAAGGATGAGAGATTTCATCAGACGAAAGAAACAGAAAACATCTAATACTATCTACAAAAAAAATGGATGTCAAAATAGTTTTCGCAAATAGTCATTAGCCATAAAAAAACTAAGGAAGAGAAGGTCATAGTTGTGGTATTCCTAAATATTTTAAAACCTCATTCTTTTTAAATTTCAAGAAGAAACCAAACACTAAATAAACTGGAATATTCATTTAACTATATTTTTTGAAGCTAAAAACTATATTATAGTAATAATCACAGCTTAATACATATATTGTTATGTATATAGTAATAACAGCTCTTATACCGAATTGTTAAAGAAATTAAAGTAGTACTAGACCTTAACAGACATTAAAGGTCATCATAAACTTTTTCCAGCTTTTAATTCTTTCATAACTACATTATTATAATCGTTTACCATAAAATGCTGTATTTGTCTACCTTATAACAAAAAAATTTAGTTTTCTATCTCGGACGTTTTTAAGAGGTTGGTGTGCTCTCGGTAGGAAAAATAGGATTCGCCACAAATGTGCTATTGTAACGAAAATAACTTAAGTCCCTCGGGCCCTCCTTTTCGGGTCCTTTGAACCATAAAATAGCTCCGAACATGACGGCACTTATTTGATGAAAACGACTGTTTCCGTTTTGTAGTCTAATTGGTAAAAAAAAGAGTAAAAGTATAGTTATAAAATAGAAGAAGTAAAAATAGTAACAGTAATCACAAGCATCTACTACTCTAACGAAAAAAACTGCTGTAAACGTCGTCTTACACATAACTTACAAGTTTTAAACAATTGAGATTAATTCTTGAGTAGTTACTTAATTTGCCAGTCTACAATGATCAATAGTAGAAAGTATGTTACTATCTAGTTGATATTTACCTAGTCATACAATACTGCAAAGTCAATTGTATCCTACTTTAATTATCTTTAATGTATACGATCAAGTCTCGCAATTTTAAAGTATAAGAACTCATAACCCAATACCTTTAAACTTTATTTTTTACTCAACGATGCTTAATGAGAATGTTAATGACTATACACAACTTTTATTTGTGGGGTTAAAAATTCATTGAATAGTAAGAAAATTCATAAGGAAGCTTGCTTCAGAAGAATTCTCAAAAATGAGAATCAAAGTATTGACCAACTATTAATAAAAAAGTTTTTCCCATGAAAAAAGTTTCGAAGCGAGGGACTATGTAATAAAGCTTATTAAGTATTCCTTAAAATATTTAAACATTGTAAGATCTATTAGAAAAAGGTTCCTCAATTTTTATTGATATTTATGGAAATAATCTTCATTATTGAAATACTCTAATATGTAAGGATTCATCGTAACTGTGTTATTAAAATTTATAAAATAAAAATCATGTACAATTGCAACAGAATAAATTTTTACTTCAAATAAATATTACTTACAATGACAATGAACATATCTTTTTGCATAGATAAAATAAATTACTTAAATGTATTTATTTACAGTCGTTTTGATTGAAATTTTTCAACTTAAATTTTTTTCTTTTTAATGTTGAGCCAGGTTTTCACAGACTTTTCATTCCTGTTTTTAAATAGGTCTGAATGTTGTTTGATCATTTCTCGTATTTCCTGAGAAGATGGAGCTTTGCCACCTTGTTCCATGTATTTTATAAATCGCTTAGTAACAATATCTTTTTTTTCCTTACTCCAAGGTATTTTTCTGTCTCTTGTAACAGCTTCTTCATGTAAAGATTTATCTCCACCATGTTCTTCCTGAATAGCTTGAAGAGCACCTAAAATTTCATACACGGTTATACATTCTTAGCAAAAAAAATTAACTTATGAGACATATTGTTGTACTTTTTAGCATCAACAGAAGTTTTTTTCTTGTACCATGGGAGATTTGTCGTAAAATTTAAATGGTTACTACGCCCTCAGTGGGAAAAATAGCACTTGCCATATAAGCACCATTTATTTGGGGCTACTCTACGGTACCTTGAGCTTTGCTTCACGAATCCCTCAGAGCTGCTAAGTAGCTATGGTGGTAATAGTGCTTATGTGGCGAGAACTAATATTTTTATTACAAACACAAAGTGCATCATGCCTCGTACACTCGTACACAACTTTGCATGTTTACGTGGGAGAAAGTGCTTTCTTCCTGTTTTGGAGTGCAAAGTGTTACTATGGGTGCAAAGCAGCACTTTACGCCTTCATACAAAATCTACCAGCAATTTTTAAATGATTGTTTTTTAAATTCATGCAGTTGTATGTGTATATATTTAAATATATGTGTTTTACTGAATTACTTTAATAAATTACTGATATCACAGGATCAGCTTAAATGAGTTTCTAAATAAACTGATGGCTTGCACAAAATTAAAAAGTCCTAAATCAGCCCGAAATAATTTATGTATTGCTTAACTGACTTTGATGAGAGATAAAATTTTAATTATGTTTTTGTTTAAAGTAAAGTATCGTGACAACTAAATGATATTATTAAAAATGGTATTGACTTAAGCCTCATTGAAGTACCGTTATTATAAAAATTTTTAATTGAAAAAAAACTTGGTAATTCCTTAGGCCAGCATCATGCTTTTTTAAAACAATAGTTACATAGTTTAATATGCCACTTTCTTAAAACCTAATTTGGTTAAAACAATGACATCAAATAACTAGGTACGAGTTCTGGTTACGGATTACATAAGACTGCGTGCAAAGAAAGTGACCTGAAAAAGTTGCAAGGGAAGCAAACGCAGCGTTAGACAGCTGAAAATGTTTTCTGTTTTGGTAAGGAAACATATTTTCGTTTATGTAATTTTCAATAAAAAAAAAAGAATTAATTGAAGAAATTTGTGATAAAAAAAACAAGCAACAGATTAATGTCCTATTCCTCGTTAAGTTAAAAACAAACTCTGATTGAGTGCTGTGAATTGTGAAAAGTAATCTGTAGTAAAAATTTTCGTTATTATGCTTGAGTTTCTAAATGGTTTACAGTTATAACATCCTAACAAAAAGATCTTATGGCATCCAGTATGATTAGATTAGACACTGATCAGCTATACTGATCCTGCGCGGATCAGTCTTGTCCACAGTTTATGATCAGTTACGGATCAGTTTAATAGTCCTAAGGGTACATGGATTAGGAACTGATCAACAACTGATCAGCATCGGTCCTATAATGAGATCATTGTGAATCGACAAATTAGACAGTGGATTATCAATTCAGCATTTTTGCTAAGTAATGTACCTTATGATTGAAAAATAAGACGCAAAAACATTGTATTAGTATTTTGTTTTGTAGTACTAATATCGGATAATATTAGTACTACCCAATTAAACACGATAAGTTCCACCTGAGTATTAGAAAGAAAAACAAGTTCCGATGGAAAACATGTCTGAAAAGCACGTTGGTAATCAGAGGCCTTACAGATAGAAGAGAATATGAAATAAGAGAAACATATACTCTTGTTTCGAAATTGACAGTTATCAGAGTGACTTTGAACATCGCTAACAAGTCCTACCTTGACATCTGTCAAACGGATGTAAAATCTGCTTCTCTTAACAGGACCTAAGAAGACGATGTTTTAATGGAAATTCCTAATAGAATTGATTGTAATACCGATTTTTAAAATAAGAAGATTTGTAGGCTGAAAAGATCTATAAATGATACTAGGATACTAAGCGGAAAATTAAAAAATAAGCTAGTACGAGTTAAAAACAGTACGCAAAACATTTTAGATAAAATATTTTGGAGAATCAAAACTGTTCTCAGACATTGAAATTTTTAGATGTAAAAGTCATCAAATTTCGATACTTTTTTTTATCAGAAAATACAGGTAAGATTGTAGGAAGATTTAACATGATGGATGGCAAATCAGAAAATCCCAATTATTACAAAACAAACAAAAAATAGTGAACCCAAGAACTTAGAACTCAAGGCTGTAGAAGTAACACAGTGGACAAATGCTTTGTATAAAGAGGCCATTAAAAGCTTTTTATATTTAGATAGTGCCGTTTAGATCAAATATATTATTTGCAGTTAACTATTCACCTAGAAGACAATTAAAACCTACAGAAAAATAATTGGAAAGAAGTTAAAAGAGTAGTTAAGTATACGAAAGGTACCCAAGAGCTAGGACTGATTTTCAGAGGAAAAGATAAGGACTTGTGTGCCATGACGGGTACTTGCTTCAAAGATTCGGAGGATTCCACAAAAAAGTGGATTATCTATAAAACTATTCGTAGAAACCATAAACTGCGGTAGTCATAAATAATCGTATATAACTCTTTCTACCTGCCAAGTAGAGTATTTAACCATGAGCTACACCTGACATGAATTAATCTCACTAGACAAAGCTATAAATAATTCGATAGAAAAGACGTCACACCGTTAAAGTATGGTGCAACGACCAATCAGCAGTTAAATGCACCCAAGTAAATGGTAGTCATAAATTAAAAACCATTGATGATAATATCATTGCAGCTCAGGGATAATTACAGAAACAAAGAGCAAGAAGAGGTACTAAAAACCATATGATAGATACTTATGGAGACTTCATCAAATCTTGTTTACTGCAAAATAAAGTCCCAGTACAATAAATTACATCTCAGGAAAGCAAGGCCGATATAATGACAAAGCCATTGTTTTTTTCAACTCACTATTACTTCAGAGACAAAACACTTTATGTTTAATTACAACGTAATTTTAATAGAAATTAGCACGTCTTAATCCAATACGGTCATTCTAGATCTCATAAGTTTTCCTTTAATCACTTATTCTCACATACGCAAATATACGCAAAAACCTGTTAACAATATATTTTAAGGGCCAAAAAAGTACTGAAAATCAAGAACGTCAAAGTCGACCTGTGTTAATTTTTATACCACTATCAATAACTAAAATCAATTAAATGGGTAAATTAATTGTCTTATGAGCTTTTTAATGACAAAGACTCTCACCACTTATAAAAGAGTCAAAAAAATTTTACATAATAGATTGAACATACATAGTATCTGCGTTAAGTTGGTTCAAACATTTTTAACACACCTTCTTATAACGCGTTATCGA